CTCATAAGGCAAGTCCAATGCAAGCCATGAGCTGCCAAAGTCGCAGTCACAGCAGACTGACGCTGGCCTGGAGCTCAAGGTGTCAACGACGCAGACTAATCCGTTTGTGGACTCTCATAAGGCAAGTCCAATGCAAGCCGTGAGTTGCTTCTCTATCCGTGCCTTAGATGAACGGCCGGGGCGGCCAGTCGAGCCCCCAACTTTCTGCAAAGCTCTCAGGATCATTCGCGACTTGCCCCTGGAGGCATCCGTGCATGACGACGTGCTCAGTTTGCGGGTCGTTCTTTGTTGCGACGGTTGTAGCCAAGGGCCTGATTGACGAGACGGGCGAGCTGAAAATCTCAGGCGGAAGCCTCTGGTTGTCCGCAATCGAACACTCATCAAATTCCAGCTCAGGCAAGATATCGGCAGCAGTGGACGAGTGCCCCGTGAATGGAAACCATCTGAGGCACTTCGGACATTCCTTGACAAGCCCCGCATTGATCTTTTGTTTTTGCACAGTGCTGCCAGTGGGATGGTGGCCGTTGCTTGCTTCGCGCGGCCAATCGTGACGTTGCCCCCGACAACGACGACGACCACAGTACACTCTCCCAGCACAGCATCTGGCAGCCGCTCGGGTCGCTGTGTTTCTTCCTTTGCCCAGGTCACTGTGTCGACAACAGTCACGCATATTTTGAAGACGAGTGACTCCCAGCACTTCAGCTGCGAGGTGCCCCATCTTCCATCAGGTTGGTTACTTGATGTTGCTTAGTATGTTGCTTCGCCCAGCCTCAGGAGCCTGGGTGCACCGCGACCACAGTCCTTGTGGTTGATGACTTCAACCTGACGTCTCGAAAGTGCAAGCTGACTATGAGGCCAATGTGCTCACAAACCCAGCGCGGTGCTTAAGAGCAAGTCGACGTCAGGATTAACGAGACCGACTTTGATGAACAAGACGGGACCACGGAGCGTGTGGAGTGGATCAAGGCGCTTTCAGATGCCAGCCAGTCGTGAATATGGCATGGACGACTGAGAGTGCGAGGTCGGCGGGTCGACTATCACAGAAAGCCTGAAGCCGGGCAAGAACCCATGCCAAGAGGCACGAATCCGAATGACTCAGCTGTGTCGCGAAATGCCAACCCGCCTTTCCTCGGATCTTTTTGTGCCCAGGCAGCTTCCGGTAAGCCGCGAGAGTATGTGAACTTCACCATCCTGGATGGGAAGGACGTTGAGGGCTCCAAATTGGCGGCAGTTGCTGTCTGGGCACCTGAACAAACCGATTGGTTTTCAGGGACGATTCAAGCTTCGATTAGGTTTCAAGGTCTTCAGCAGGAGTATCTTACGGGAGCTCGGCTATTCAGCGCTTAGGCTGCACACTTCTGCGAAAGCCTCCGGAGGTTCATGCTAGCGGCTAGCGCTGGTGAAAACCTGCTGAGCTCTTGGCTGTGCAGTCGTTCTTCCCAGGATGTCGCAGACAAAATTGCCGACGGCATGCTCTTCGTGTCCTTGAAGATCTCGGACATGGTGCCCCTCACTCCGTAAGAGGCAGGAGCCCCAATGCTACAACAGACATGCTCAGGTTGACGAGTGCTCCGTGGACGGCCGCCTCCTGGATGGTCAAGCCGACCTATCCTGTAGCTGACGGCAGCGGACGATGGAGGGGCCGTGGAAAAATTGGGTTTAGGGCTCTGTAACATCGGGAGGCCAAAACCTTTTCATATCATCACAGCTGTGTTGACTGTGTTTCAATTTCGGATCAAAGGTTTTGGAATGGGACATGATGGGGTCAGATTGATAGTTGAGGGTCTGGCGTTAAGTTCAAAACACTGTTGTCCTGCCTTGCCTGCATGGCATAGCTTCACCGCACAAGTGCACCTGCTTTCTAGCATTGGATCTGCAAGACGCTCAGCGGCTCATTCGTCTTTACCCCTCTTGGGATTTGCCAGCTCATGGAGTCCTGCACCTTGCTTTATGACACGGAGAGCGAGAGCGACGACGAAGAAGTACGGGAGCCACTGGAGCCGCAGCCAGTGAGCTCACCCTCACTGCTCGAGCGTGCCCAGCACGTGGTTTCTGCCAAGAAGGAGGGCAGACCATCTGATGACTACCAGCGGGCCATTAACTTCTCTGCGGTTAACTTTGCGAAAGCGCAAGAATTGGTAAGTGAGCTTCCCCAGATCCACCGCAGCAAGATCGTTTTATTGAACGTTGCAAACTTGTACGTGGAGGCAGTGGATATCGTTACAGGAAAATTCGATGCGTCAGTCAGCCTTCGCTTCGTCCGAAGGTTTGATGATGAAACCGGCCCACCTCCACCTGAAGCCAACGAGGACATTGCTCTAGAAAAGCTTCCTGACTTGCTTGCAGAGATCTACGGTGTCACTCTGAACTGGGATTTGCACCAAGCATGCACTGTAGAGTACTCCTCCGCACGGCTTTTTGGAGGCCCTGGAGGACAGTGCGATGTCACACTCCGCGGTACATTCCAGGACACCAATGATTTGGAGTTCTTCCCCTTCGACATTCAGGATTTCAACGTCATCTTTGAGGTGCGCTTTCTGGCGACTGTGCCGGACTTTCACTTGATCTTGGTTGGGGACGTGAATTCCCAGCAGACCATGCCAGACTACACCTTCTACCAGCCACTTGCGATGATGTATGCCAGGAAGTGGCCATATCGCAAAATCTCGATCACAACATGTGCATTGCGGAACTATGGCCATTATCTAATGAACTACTATTTACAACTTTGCGTCCTGACAAGTGCATTTCCGCTGGTGAGCGCGATAGACCCGCATGAGGGGACAGCAGACCGACTGAGCTTCCTCGTGACACTTATCCTTGCTACTGCAGCGCTTCAGATCACAATGAACGCGAACCTGCCATGCATTCCATATGCAACGATGCTGACAAGATACACCACCACGTCGTTCACCGTCATGTCCATGTCCATGTTCCTCTGCGTCTTGACTTCTCGAATGCCGTGGTGGTGGGATACAGCCACCTTCGGGGGCTTGTTTGTCTTCTGGATAGGCTATAATGCGAACCACTTCCTCACTGCACGACGCAGCATTTGGGAGGCCAGGCGATTGTTGGGAAGCCCGGCTGAGACGATAACAGTGGGGAGCAAAGAACTAGCGACTGCTGCAGCTATGATGGATGCCTTGGACCCCCGATTCGGAGCCCTGCTGCAGCTGCGGCAGAAGCGAAGCAGGGGGTGACTGCTTCCTGACGCGGCGGGAGCTTCAGGCATCGTTCCGTTCGAAATTTGCTTTAGTGCGAGCTCTTGAGTAGAGTCTGTCGGGTTTGCAACCCCCAGACACGTCAATGGAAGACAGACATTCTGACACAGGGTGCTTGAGTCCAACCGGGAACATGCAACACATGCTTGGCTTCTTGGCTCCGGCTCAAGCGAAAATGATCTCGCTTGCGTGACATCACAGAGCTGCCTTCGGCAACGGCTGCTTGGATCGGGAAAGATATTTTGAGGCATGATCATCACGCCCAGCTTGCTTCCTGTTTCCAGGTTGCCCTATGTCCCTTTTCTGCTGTGATGGCGGCGGTCCCTGTGCTCAAAGCTCTCGGATGAGGCATTGCAACATCTTGACAAAAAGACGGCACAGCACAAATTGCAAATCGCAGGGTTGAAGCCAATGGCCCGGCACCAATAGCCGGCTTCCAAGTGCCTTCGCTGGTGGCTGCTGGTGGCTTTGGCTTATTTCGCGTGTTGCACCAAGGTACCGGACACCTCCCAAAGCAGGGTCCATACGTCGGAAGCCCGAGCAAATCAGCACCTACTAGCCGAGCTCCGTCAAACCCCCAGGCCTTTGCCCATGCTGCAAGACTGGGACAAGCTCGGAGCCAGGGAGAAGGAGGCGTGGACAGGTTCTTGCTCGGGTCCCTTTTTTTCCAGTCCTGTCATGATCCATGTCAGGTTGTGCAGGAAAAGCTGGAAAGCATTGTAAACGCCTTCGCGCGTGAGCTCACTAGGGGCAAGGCGCCACGGATTCACAAATCATTGGAGGCGACTGTCGGCAGGCACCTACTTACTTCCTGGTGAAAGGTGTTCATGAAGCTGGGGCGAAATGGCCGCCTCTTCTACCGCCTTTGCCTGGAGCCGAGCTTGTCTTGACTTAACTACCTTGTTCACTGGCTGCTGTGTCGTTTGAAGGCACTTTGGACAAGCAGCTGACGGCATTCTCCATGCACATCAAGGGAGCCATCGTGGAGTGCTCTCCTCGCTTTCTCTCCTTGACTTTTCCCGTGTTGCTGTCTACATATCGAAGTGGGCGTTTCTCAGCGTGGAGCAACAGGTATCCCTTCAGCCACATGCAGCACATTAGACCAGGCCTCAGTCGGACTTTTGCTCTTCCGGCAACATCTAAGCTAGGAGCTCTGAAACTTGCCGGGTCAGGCCCTTGTACCTTGCCCGTACGTCCGGCGGCTTCATCCAGAGCATTGGCCCGTGCTGAGGCTTTGGTTATGACCTCACAGACTTCACGCATGTTCCTGTCGCAGTCCAAGGTGTCCAAGGTGGCTAGTGGCTTCTGTAGAATCCCAAAACTGAGCGTCTGCATTCGTGCCGAGGTCTCATTACCATCTGATGCGCTGGCAGCGGTTATTGTTATGGACAACCGGCGAACTGACTGCACGAGAGAGCTTCCTAACCGGTGGTCTGCTTTCAACGAAATGAAGCCTCGATCAGGAGAATGAATCTGGTGTTTTCGTCCCCCATGGAGCGAGACGAGTTTGTCACTTGCATGCTCGTGCAGCTGGCTAAGTTCGACATAAACTGAAAGCAGCACACAGCCAGCGTACCCTGCCAGGTTCTCAAGGAGCGGCACCGACGAAATAATTCGTGTCCAGCCCTTGGTCTGTCCACACCGGGCCTTCGGTGCAGTTTCGGTTGATTTGTTCTGAGGAGCCAACCAGCTCCAGGCAAGGCTCTAGGCTCTCTTCGCGTGAGAGCACTGCACAGACAAGCCCCACGATGCTTCGAGCTTTCGTTCCATACCGGTTGCATGTGGTACTCACACGGATACCTCTGCTGTGGCTGCTGGAAGCAACGTGGTAGTCTCACGACCAACCCACGTTTGAGACATCGTCTGCAGTACTACTAGTGCTGCTTTTACAGCCAAGTTTCACCAACCCGTCGTAGTGCGCGTGTTTATGCTTGCTCATGTACACTGTTTGATGATTCGCACTTCTTCACGTATAGGTGTTCTCGCGTCACGCGGAAACCATGTCAGCGCACTTCCAAAAAAGAAGCCAGCGGTTCTGGCCCTTCGCATCCCTTCGCCTTCGCTCTGTGAAGCTCATGAGCTCATCACGTCCTCGCTGTCTGGGCTCACAGGCTTGAGTGCGTTGGGTTCTCATAGACGACTGGACCACCCTAGCAGAAGCAGGGCCTTTTCTCGTTCAAACAGACTTTCGGAGCAACTTCAGGAATTGAGGCATGCTGTGGCCATGCTCCCAGCCCGCAACCATGGGCGCCTCTGCAGACTCGCCAGGCCCGAAGCGGTGAAGCCCAGCGACGTGGGAGCAGAAGCGGCGGAAGCCCCTTTTTGATGTTTGATTCAGGTTCTCCACAGAGGCCGCTACACAGGCGGAGCCAGCACAGGTGCGGCATGGGCCCAGCACAGCCGCCAGAAAGTTTCCCACATGTGGGAGGCCTTGTTGGCGGTGCCAGGACCCTGCTTGGACGAAGTCTTTGGCTTTGGAGGGCGCTCTGTCTGCAGTCTGCCATCAGGCATCAGGCGAGGGCGGCGCAGAGCAAAGACAATCAAGGCGCTTCAATCTTGAGCCTTGCAAGCAGAGAGCACCTCGTAAGACCGAGCAGGCTGTTGAGCGCACGGCGACCCGCCTGCACTACCGCGAGCTTGTGAAGCAGGTGCCATCACCGCTTGGGCTTGGGCTCAGCCTGCACATGCTTCTCTCCCGTGTGCAGGAAATTTTTGATCGATATGCAGTCACAAGTTCGAGGGAGACTTCTCTGCGCTTCCACCTCTTCCGCGCGGGCCTCGATCCTGTTCCCACCGCGCGACCCGACGGGCCAAATCTGCGAACCAAGGTACCGAGCGGCCGCTCAGCAAGGCCAGAGCGTCCAGGGTTTGCGTGCAAGCGCTTTCGCTTTAATCATTACTTCCAAGTAAGCCCGGGCAAGAAGCACTAATCACATGTATTTGTCGCGTAGCGTCTTGTATCGGTGCATTCTGCACGTTATGGCCAAGCCGAGCCCCGAGCTAGAATGGTATACAAAAAGCCCCAGAACTTTACAACTGCGACTACCACCATGGCACTGAGTGCTTCTTCTGCTGCTGGTGTCGCCTCGACCATTACGACAACGACCACGACCCAGACGGTAACAGCGACGACCAGCACGAGACGACATGATACGACGACAGCAACGACGACTTCGCTACTGCGCCTCCCGCTGCTTGCTGCTCCTGCTGCTGGCTCCCACTCCTGCTGATGCTGCTGCTGCTGCTGCTGCTTCTACTTCTGCTTCTAACTGCTGCTACTACTGCTACTGCCATTGCCCCTGCGCCTGCCCTTGCCTAATCAGTACTGCATTGCCTGTGAGACGAGCGCGCAAAGCCACAACGGCTGCTACTCTGTGGACGTTGATCGTCATGAAGCATGTATACACGACAGGACTGCTAAATTTCCAGCGCCCCGTCTTGACCACGATGCTCCTTATAGCACCGAAGGCGAAAGATCTCCGGTCCATCGAACTGAACATGCGCCTCTGATCAGGTGGAAAAGCTGCGTGCCCGGCAAACTCTGCGTCCATTTGGCCTGCTTGAGCGGTGCACGTCCTGGAAAATCTGCTTAGTTGCCCTACTTTGTAGTAATCGAGCCGTGTCAAGGTTGCGTTCATCCGAGCTGATAGCTCTCGTCCAATCCGCAGCTGTGCTGGCTGCAAGGATGTTTTTGTCGGTCGTTTGCTGACAAGGTCGAAGGCCCGGCTCGGGGGCACTTTGACAACGACCTCCTGTGGCGACAGCTGGAGCGTCTCTTTGTGGCCGGAGCCAAGTGCACCCTCGTTGTTTGGCGATGTTCTCTTTGACAGGTTCAGAACAAGATTCTGTCAATCGGAGAGATGTCACGCATCCTGCATTCGTTCGCAATGAGAAGGCAGAGCAGGTGCCGGGATCAACGGGCTCAATTTGGGCGTAGTTGATGGCATCGGTGTGCTCCTGAAGGCAGCTTTCAGACCCGCCTGCGAGACTTCTGCGAGTTGTCGGGCACCCTGCTATGTTGAGACGCAATGTGACGCCATGCTAGACATCGAGTGAGTGTGGATGTCTTTATTCTTGAGGTCTCACAGCGCTTCTGTCAAGAGGCAAGCCCGAACGAGCGCGTGTTGGTCTTGCATGCTGGCTGGAACTGCTTGCCGCCTAGGCTGTCTCTTGCTCTGTTGCGGAGCTTGCCCGAATTGTGGATGCCTTCGGCACGTTCAGTGCAAGAGACACCAAGCTTCTGAATCACCTTTCCATGGTTTTCCCGGACGTGCAGTCGTTGCAGACAGAGGACACGGAGGGCCCTTTCAAGCACAGCACAGGGCACAGAACGGAGATGGGAAATGTCCCCCTCTGGTAGGAGCCGGAGCCAGAGCCTTGAAAGGTCCCTGGCGAAGTCAGCGAAACTCTCTGGGCTGTGTGTCATGGTCCAAGGTTTGAGGCGCTGGTACATCTCTGTCGTGGGCTGGCTGCATTGAGGCCTCCAGGAGCCTTCGATTCGCAGCGACCCGTGCTTTCTTTGCGATCCGAGGTGGCCGGATGAGGCCGCATTGCGGTTCACTGTGCAGATTGTGTCCGGGTCCCTCGAGGTCGGAGGTGCCGCGAAGGTGCTGCTTTTCCGTTGCTATTCTGTGGAACCCGAGGCGAGGCCGCCAAAGCAGCGACTTCGAAAAGTCCTTGGGCCGTGACCTTGGGACATCTTGGAACATGCGCCTGAAAAGGCAGCTCCTCTTTGACCCTGAGTTATAAGGAACCTTGCCAGTCCGACCAACTTGTATTCGCTGCCGTGAGCTTAAAACCTTTCTCCAAGCATTGCAGGGAAGACTTCGTGCTAGTCTGATGCTCGACGCGATGGCTGAGTCCAGCGTTTGAGCCGGAAGAGCGATGCGAAATCATTGCAGATGCTGGGGCCAAAGTCTCTCGATCCATCGGTCTTGCAATGCAAAGTTACTACGGCAAACCGACCCATAGTATCGTGCTGACATGCCCCAGCACGGGAGCGCGTTCAGGCTGATGTCGCTTCCATCTGCGAAGCTTTGGCGATCTTGGAGGTCCACAGTTGCACATGAAACGGAGCCGTGCATGTGGAAGCATAAGCATCAGCGAGGTCAGATCCGAGGCTCTGATCCGTGCGGTCTTGAAGGATGTGGCAACCGAGCGAGGCCAGATGCTCGGGGGAAGGTGCGGGTCGTTATCACGTGCTCTCGATTCAGGCGGGGCGGCGCGGGCACTGTCTCAGGGACGATGGACATGGCCTCAGCGCAGTACGCGAGTGGTGTCTGCGATGAGAAGCTCCTGGATCAACTTAGGAGGTCTGCACACCTCCTTGGTCGCCTGAGTCGTAGTCTGGCCAGGCAGAGTGGGTTCCCTGCCCGCGCATGCCGCTTCATTCGCTTGCAGCGCTTCAGGCTTGGTGTCGTGGATAAGCAGCTGACAGCCCGATGGCTGCAGGCAAAAAACCCCGTTGCGCAAGACGGCAGCTGCATGTCGCACGGTTGAGGCGGTGCGGCGGGAAGACCGGATGAATCCCCAGCCGCGACTCCCACGGGAGGTGTTGGAGGCAAGTGAAGCTCTGGAGAGTCCACTGAGTCAATTTGCTAGGAGCACTGTCAGGTGGCGACTACTGCATACCAGATCGGTGCTTTCCACAGGGCCCTGACCCTTTCGACCTTCGACCGTCGGCCCGGAACCGATCTCGTGAGACTCAGGAGCTGCAGTGTCGACTGGGCCGGCGCCTGCGCGTAGCCCTGCGGCTGGGTGCAGACTCTGCCAGAGGCCGGAGTCTGCGCTGCGCTTCGCGCATCTGGTGATTCCGCTCGCGGCCGAAGGTGCCATCAGTGATGCCGTCCAATCCGTGCAGGAGGCCCTAGGTGTGGACGTGGAGACAGCAAAGGCCATGAACTCTGCGGCGGCAGGCACCCCTGCCAGCCGGGACAACGCAGTTGGTGGTTCGGCTACCAGAGGCAAGGATATGCCGTTGTGTGTCACCTCGATGCCGTTTTCATCCGTCTTGGACGCGGAGGTCGAACCCTTGCCTTCGGAGCAGAACCTGCAGACGGCTCTGCAGTGTCTCAGGGTCAGAGCCTCAGAGCCGCGAGCATCCCTGAGAAGCACAGCTGCTTTGACAGAGCATGCTTTGGCAGTTTCAAGTGGCCTCGAAGCCCCGAAACCGTATAGTAAAACCGAGATGATCGGAGGTCTTGACCTGCTGCGACGACAGAGACTTCGACGCAGTGCACGCCTGCCGGGTTTCGAAGAGCCTCCCTCTTTTTGGAAGTCGCCTTAGGGTCCTGGGAGGCTGGGTGCAGCCACCCGGCAGCTTCGAGAGTCCGAAGGCGGAAGTTGCAAAGCAATTCTCGGAAGCCCAGATGAGAGTTGTTCCAAAACGACGCGCTCTTGTTCTGGTACCTGCGATATTCGGGGACTGTTTCCGAGGATTTTGAGATGCCAGGCAGCTCCAGCATCGCTTTGCCCCACGCCATGATCTGCTCGCGATCTCCAGAGGCCGCGCTCTTTCAAGCGGTGCCCTGGGCTACTGTACAGCGCAACATCGTGCTATGTGGTGCTGAATTTTTTTTTCATGTAGTACCATGCGGATTTACACCGAACGGTGCATCGCCCACGGCACCTGTTAGAGCCTTGCACAGTATAGCGACTGTCCCAGTTTGTCTGGATCTGCAAGACAGCTCAGCCGCCTCACAACGCTTTGATCTCAGCAACGGCCGCAAGTCCCAACACCGCCCAGTACCACCTGACAGTGCAGCATCGCCAAAAGTCTCTTTTGCGATTACGCTCGGTCACTGCTTGATCCCGAGGGCCACAGTCATGTTGCGCTCGCTGTCCGGTAGTGTTGTAGGGTACTGTTCGACGGCGGTGTCGAGACTGGGACAGTGCGAGGCTTTTGCGAGGCTTGACGCTGGAGCTAGGTGTGGGCCCGAGTCGACATTAGACTTACGTGGGCAAGTCACATTCTTCCTTCTGGATTTTGCATGACTTCACTGAGTCACAGTTTTCACAAGCAGAGATTTTTCTGTTGTTTTTGATATCGCACGTTTTGCAGTGCCGGAACCCGAAAAAAAACCCATCACCCCAGACCCACGAACCTTGACACCCTGTTCCTAAAACTCGAAGCCCCCCGCAGCCTTAACTCAGGAAACTGTGATCAGCCCTCAATCCTAAACATTGAAACTCTGGAAGCTTTGAAAACCCAGAATCATCCTATATCCAGGCTGCTGAGCACGGAGGAGCTCCTGGAAGCTCATCGCTGCTGCGCGCTTCTGCACGCCCAGGCGGGGGAAGCGCAGTTTTGGGACAGTGGCCTTTTACCCATAGTTAAGTAGTTCCTTTTTGGGATTACCTTATAGGATTCTAAATATAAACCATAAAAAGGAACTACTTAGGGGCCTGTGGGTAGTCATAGACATCCCCTCCTGGGCGGAAAGGAGCATCTGGCTGGAGTTTCGTCAGCAAGCCGCCTCCTGGACTGCAGAAGGGCCCGTGAGACTTCCCTTCCCTTTGTGTGCTGGGCAAGCATCCACGCCGTTGTCCTTTCTTTCGTTATGCAGCCCCCATTTCACGCTCGAGGGAAGGCTTAGGAAGACCTCCCTTCATCAGAAACAAGTTTTTCAGTCGGCTGATTGTTGGTTCCACATTGCGCTTTGTGTTGTGCTTTGGGCTCTTTGCGGCAACCAGCCTGTCGGCTCTGAAGGTACGGCTTTCGGCCATATGGACCGCTGCCCAGATCTCGCCGGGCAGCTTAGAGGGGTCCACATCGCGCCGAACGCTAGGGATGCACCTGAACCCCAGGCCAAGGTACTGTGGCAGAGAATGGCCGGCACTGTGGCGGACCTTTCAGGCGGTGTCTCAGTCCGAGAATGTATATAGTACCCTAAATAGCAGGATCCTTGTTATGGGGACCCCAAAATAAGGTACCCCTTATGTTGCGCGGATGGATAAGTTGATCCTGCGGCTGCAGGCGATTCGAGCAGCCGCATCTGCGAGCTGGCCACGTTTTCATCTGTGGCAGAGGCCCAAAGTGAGTTCACATAGTTCACCGAAACCTGCGAGATCCTTTTTTTTTGGAGTTCGGATGCAGTGCTCTGCACTGCTCTGCACCCTGTCAGTCGCTGCAACGGCTCTCGCCGGCGGCTGTTGCTCCTGAGGAGGCCCCGGGTTGGAGCGCTTAGATCCCCTGGGGGGGTTAGGGCACCCACCCCGCTGAGAAAAAACAGGCCGACCTTGCCGTGGCTTGTGGACGCACGCTGCGGGTCTTCCTGCCGCCGTTGATGACTTCGGAGCAGAACTCTCGGCTTTATAGTGTCTCGGTGGACGCAGCTTGAGAGGTAATACTGGGTCAAGGAGCCACGCTGACCATGCGTGCTCTGGCTGAGTTGTCGCACTTGCAATGGCTTCTTGACTTGGCTTCCTTCTTGTAGACCGGCCAAGACTCAGCCGGAAACACAAGTCATGTGGGTGTCATCCATCAGCATAGCAAGGGTACCACTCACGCAAAGGCATGGAACGACTTTTCCACTTTGTTCCGAAGCCCACTCAGGCGCCGCGATTTGCGTGACTGAGTGGTGCGCCTCCACTGCGGCAGGGTGCCCAGACTCCCTCCGACATCAAAGGAAGTCGGCAGGATAGGGATGGCACTGCAGTCTGCAAGCAACGATGTGTGTGCAGGTGCCTTGCCCCAAAGTGACGAAAATCTGCTGCGAGATGCTGGTCTCGAAGGCACGCAGTGAGAAGTCGTGGCTTCAGGTTTAGGAGGTGCTGCGCATTTCCAGAACCCTAAGCTAAAGCTTGCAAAGCAAGACATGTCAATGCGCAAATTTAAGTTTCGACACGTCTCCGAAACCTTGAGGCCAAGCTCTTCTCTGGCGAGGGATTGCGGCATGGAGCTCGGCATGGTCGCCGTACAGACGACATGGGAATGCTCCGAAGCAGAATCTGATGCGGTTTCTTTAGAGGCGTGCCCTCTTCGCCACTTTGCAGGCGACAGCGCACTTTGAGATACGTCTTGAGTTGGTGGTGAAGAGAGCAGGCTTCCGAAGGGCCTCGCTCCGAGCAGTGGCTGCCTGTTCTACGGGCCGGCATCTTAGACAGGTTTAGGGCCAGTTCAGGGCGGTGCGGTTGATCTGGCAAGAGAATGCTGCGGCTCAGGCATTGATGGAGGAACTGCCAAGGCCAGTCGGGTGCTTGGTCAGCTCTGCTTCGCCTTTCGCTTCTTGCGGAGGAAGCAGCATCTTCAGCCTGCAGAAGACCTGTGCCCCGGCTATGATGTGGAGCGACACGAGTTGTGCGCCGGTGTCCGCTGCTGTCCGCCGCTGCACATGGCAGAGGCTTCGCCTGGCCGTTCACTTCCTTCGTGCTCAAGCACTGCACCGAGTCAAGGCTGGAACCGCTGTCTTCAAGAGTTGAAAGCCGTTTGGGAGCAACGTGCCGGACATCGTGTACTCGCATGAGAGACTTCACGAGATGTCTCGTGCAGAAGAGTGCCAGCTGCCAGCCTCTTTGAGCCTCTCCTGCAGACGTTGCCTCGGTGGACGCGCCCTCCTGCCCTTCGATTAGTTCGTCGCTTGGAGAGGCTCACTGCTGCTTGATTGAAAGTCGCAAGTCGACGGCTTTTGTGGGCACAGGCCCCCTGTTCGTCGCAGCCCTTTCCAGGGTGCCATTGCGGCAGGTGCCAGCGCAGCATGGCTCAGCTGCACATTCGGAGATGCACCTGTCAGTCTTGCTTTCATACCGGAGGAGTCATCCACCCACTTCGTCGACTTACCGAGACACGGTCGTTGCTTTCACAGGCTCTTGGTGAACAAAGTCTCGAGTCTCGATTTTGTGCTTCAGAGGGGGAAAGGCCGATGCACAAGGTACAGAGCGACAAGGGCCTGTGCAGAGAAAGCCAGGAAGCGAAGAAGCAGCGAAGCAGTACATACAGGGTTTAGGTAGCAGGCCAGTCAGGGCAGGGAAGGAGGGAGGAGTGCCGAATAATGTCATGAAGCAGGAGAGGGATAGACAAAGCAACGGCAAGACTCAGTGCTGATGGTTACGAAGACCATAAGCACGACGACCCTCATGAAGAAGGTGGTAATGAACATGAAGAAGACGACGATAGTGATGATGGTGGCGATGGTGGTGATGATGGTCATTCTTGGGCATGACGTCGATGATGGTCATGAGGGTGGTGAACACGATGACGATGGTGATGATTCATGGTGCAGTTGTGCGTGGTTGTGATCAAGAGGAGGAGAAGTGGAGGTGGAAGCGGAGGGGGAGACGATTTTGGCATCCTGGTTGTTCTGCCCCGTCTTCCCTGAGCCAAGCTTGTGACACATCTGCTGTTAGAGGCCTCTACATGCTTGCTGAAGGCGCCCCGCTCGGTGCTTGATGCAAGAAATGCCTTATTCGATGCGAGTGGCGATGCGACTGACAGGAGGCTCTGGACGTCTGCCAAAGACTTGGCGGCCTCAAGAGGTCCAGGTGCGCCTCAACTGTGATGGCCTCAGGAGCTTTTTCACATCTGCTCTGCTTCGAAGCATCACTCTGTTGTGGTATCAGAGTAATATACCGAAGCGTCATTTTACTATGTTTAGATCTTATCATATCAGATCGTATCGCGCTATGCTTATTTGTGCAATGCAATGCCTAAACCCTAGACCCTAAGATACCCCTAAGCTTTTGCTTCTTTTTTTTGCCGAGGCGAAGGCGAAGGGGGCGCAGTTTCCAAGGACGGTGCCACCCTCGCTGCTCGGCTCGGCGCCTTCGCTCCAACGCCCCTGTGAAGTCCGGGACCAGGCTCGGCTTCGGGGGTTGCTATGCTGGGATACAAAACGGGGATACTAGAAGGGGGTACCCTAAAGGGGATACTATAAGGGGTCACGGGTTACAAAGGGATCATCCTGCTATGAAGAGTATCTATGAAGGGCTACTCTACAGGGCTGCCCAAGTCTCGACTCGACCTTTGGAAGGTGATAGAGCTTGGCACTGACCCACTTGGGCGCCCTCGATGTCTCTTGGGCCGCTGTGCTTGCGGATGCCTCGTCACTGCAGGGCTTGAGGAAGGCTGCGTGATGCTGTCCCTGCTGTTCCGTGGTGTTAGGCCCGAGCTGTTAGATTAGGACCCAAGTGGTCTGTCTCCAATGGGGGCTGCCACCCCGAAGAGACCGCGTCTATGGCAAAGCTGCGGGCCATGGACCCTGCTGATGGGCATGCTCTTATTGAATTGGGCTTGTAACCTCGTCGCGTGCATGGTAAGAGGCGCTTTCTTTTCCAAGCCGACAGAGCGCCTGAGCTTGTCACGATTGCCTCGCCGCCAGATGGCTGAGAGGAGAAGCTTCATTCCAGACAGCAGCGCGCTGGCATTGGCACCGGAACCGCCCCTGGGCAAGGTGGAGTACAAGCTTAAGCTAAACGCCCAGGAGGGCACCGAAAGATTCGAAGAGTTGGTGACTCAGCTAAATTGGCGAATGCGAGAATGCAGCTCCGAAGAGGAGTGTGCCGAAGTCGCAGATCTCAGCCAGTACAGAGATGCTGTGTATCGACTAGGCGTCGCTGATGATGGGGCGGTGTTGGGCTTGAGTGATGGAGAGTTGGCAGAGTCTATGTCTGTGTTGCATGCCATGGCTGCAAGAATCCCGGCAACAGTCACTGTCCTCAGTAGACGGACCGGCATTGCACCTGGTAACAGGACATCCATCACTGCATTGATCCGAGCCCAAACATCGGCGCTTTCCTTGCTGGGGCAGGGGGACCAGGTCAGGATCTGCACAGTGGGAAACGTGGATTCTGGAAAGTCCACGCTGCTGGGTCTTCTCACACAGGGCTTGAGGGACGACGGCCGAGGGCGTGCGCGCTCCTCTGTGTTTCGACATCGCCATGAACTCGAGACAGGGAGGACTTCCTGTGTCTCCACGATGACACTAGGCTTCGATCAAACCGGTCGGGTCGTGAACTATAAGGAGGACAGCGAGGGAGTGTTTCGCAGTGAGGAACCCCAGCATAATGCCGGACGGGCCGAGGCACAGGCACGGATCGCCGAAAAGGCTTCCAAGCTTATTACATTCTTCGACTTGTGCGGGCACGAGCGCTACTTCAAAACGACCTTGCAAGGCATGGTGGGCTTGGCACCCGACTATCTGCTCTGTACGGTTGATGCCAACCGTGGCGAGTTGCGGGGCATGGTCCATGAGCATTTGATCGTTGCAAATGCGCTTGCGATTCCCACCATCATCTGCCTCACGAAGTGTGACGTGGCAGGCGAAGGGCAGAGGAAGTCTGCTCTTGAAGATGTCAAGAAGTTCATGAAGCAGATGGGCACACCTACATTTGTGGTGAAGGACGCTAACGATGTAGTGTTCGCAGCAGAGCGCATCCTCCAAGGATTTACGCCGATCCTTCTGTGCTCCGCAGTCACTGGCGCGATGATTCCAGAACTGAAACTCTTGCTGAACGTTCTTCCTCGGAGACCACCCCTGCAAGCTCCCGCAGCTTTGTCTCTACCAGGATCTGAAGCCCTTCAAATTCAGATCGACGAATTCTTCCCCCAAGTTCCGGGGGTGGGACTCGTAGTTTCAGGCAGAGTGCTACATGGGACTGCGAGGCCCAACGATGGGATCCGGCTCGGGCCTATCGTAGACACCTCCGGAGACTTGGTGAAGGATGGCTTCATCAGCTTGAGGTTGGCCTCCATCCGCGCGCAGGACCACCCTGTCGAAGAGCTGAGGGCTGGCTCGAGCGGTACCTTTGCATTGAAAGCCTCCGGAAAGGTCCGGGATGCTCTGACGCCCAAGGTCTTGAGCAGATCAAAAATCCTGGTTGGCACGAAGTCCCCGTTGACGCCCTCGCGTTGGATCAAGGCGAGCATCACTGTGCTGCAGCATCCGAGCTCCATAAGAGTGAGATATGAACCCGTTCTTCACGTTGGCATGACGCGGCAAACGGCTCGAGTTATGTCCATGAGTGATGCCGAAGGGCGGCCCATCTCGTTGCTTAGAGCCGGCGATTCAGCAGAAGTCCTGTTCCGCTGGGCCCACTGGCCAGAAATTATCGAACCAGGTTGCGCCCTCGTCTTCCGCGAGAACTCTGTAAAAGGTGTGGGCACAGTGACCTGGGTCGGAGATTTCGAGGAGTCTCCGAAAAAGCGGAGATCCGGCTTCCGCCCTCAAACCTCCAAGGTTTCGAAGTCTGCGAACGACAAGAAGAGGGACAGAGGAGCCAGGGGAGCCAGATCTGAAAAGGCCGGCAAAGTCAGTGCAAAGCAATTTAAGGGCCGCAAGGGCAAGCGCTCGAAGCGCTGAGTTATTTTTTGCCTAGTTTTGGCGACTTGCCGTGAAAGTCACAGAGTCGAAGGGTCAGACCCGGGTACGCACAGCCTCGTCAGCCGTCGGGCATCCATGCAGAACATCCGCATTGGAGTGTACCACCTGAAGGGCTGTGCCTAGTGTACAAAGGCCCGTCGGGCCACAGGCATGACTTGTCAACACTTGTCACATGTCACTCTGTGCATAGTTTGATTGAAACGGGGGAACAGCTGCGTAGAGCTGCACGGACTCTTCATTCCAAGCTGACGAGATTGCCTAGCAAAGACCGCTACAAAGGCGAGCAAATGGAATGGAGTGTCGAGCCTCACGCAGGCTGTGCAGAGAGAGAAAGCGATAGCCCGGCGGGGGGATGGCTCGCATTGTCTGCAAGCCCCCCGAGCCAGCGTGAACAGGACTGCGATTCCAGTTGGGAGTTAACGCATCCAGGGTTCCGAGAACAGTCCAGCTGAGTGGTGCTTCTCTCCAGGTCAGGTTGGTTTGAGTGCTGACAGAAGCTCGGCACGGAGTCTGAAAAAGAGGATCCCTCTGCTGGGCACTTTGATAAGACTGATTGTTATGTGTTCAGAGGTTGCCGAAGAGGTGGGCAGTGATGGAAAGGGCAAGTTAGCCACCAGACACCAGTTGTTGCAGATGGTCGCCGCCTAGGTGGGCATGGCAATGTCTGCGTCAGCTTCGTCAAGGCGCTTCAGCACCAGGCCGAGAGCAAGCAGGTAGCTTGATTCACGAAACGGGATGCGACTGCAAGTGTACTCCACAATAGACGGAGTTAACTCAGCGGCGGCCCCCGTTGAGAGTTTGCCTATGTGGCCTGGCATTGTGTGGCCCCTGAGAGGTTGCTTTCCGATGTTCCGCATCCACTCCCGGTCTCTCTGCAAGATCGCGGAGTGGTGCACGAAAGGAAACTGTGCTTGGCGTGGCTTCGACTGACAAGCCGTGCACTGTAGACTCGAGCGCCAAGCATTCGCACGCAGACCGCCACCGGAAGTAGCCCTTGGCACAAAATCGGCAACCATGGCCATGGAATCACGTCATTGCCGTCGTGGAGAAGGTGGGTCATCTCATGAGACAACTCCTTGCGTGGGAAGTGTCGTGATTGCGTGACAGTGTGAGAAGGTGGGGTTTTGGAGCTCGACTACCACCGCCGTTCCTTCGCAGCGCACTCTGTCCGTCCTTGATGAGCAAGCGATTTCGCCTGTCGAGGCAGCACAGTACTTGTACCACCCTGACTTCCGGGGTGCGAGTTCAGCTCCTCTCGAGGGTGGCATTCATGATGCTGATCGTGGCAGGTGCAGTCTGCTGCTGTGGTGTGGCGCGAGGCCGGACACTTTGCTTCGGCGCGCCCAGCATGCTATTGATCTAGCTGATCAAGATGGCATCCGTCAGTTCTCGTCGACCCTTCGGCTCAAAAACGATGGTGTGCATGGACAGCTTTTCGGCACCCAAGTCACTAGCCATATGGCTGCTTCGAGTTCCTCCGCTGCGCAGCTGAGCATAGCTCAGATTTGTGGCGGCATCAAGGATTTGTTTTCGCACAACTGCCTCCCGTCGTCCACAGAGCAAACCGTCGAACCCTTGACACAGCAGCAGCTCCAAGAGCACCAGCAGCAGCTGCAGACCGCAGTAGATGGATGGATGAGGAGCAGAGACGAGCCTTTAACTCTGTACGTCACCAAGATGAAGGCAAATTCCGCTGACAAAGTTGTCGAGAAGGCACATGTGAAGAGACTCAGCGAGGAAGACGCCTTTTTTGTGTGTGGGTATCAGCTGCTTGCACAACGCTTGGCTTCATCAACTTTCTCTACAGTCAAAGTCCGGAAGCTTCCTGTCTGGTTAAGCACCTGCGATAAGCAGACACAAGATGTAGCGCTGGCTCTTATCTGGCTGTATGGTCCCAAGTCCGCGGCGGGAGTACCGCCTTTCTTGCGTGCTGACTGTGTCATCAGCCTGGGAGACCCGCTTGACTACGACGTGCCGAAACACAAAATCAGCGAAATGCACCGCTTCGTTCGTGAAACAGGCAAGTTCGAGTCGGTTCAGGTTGTGGGTGGCCCGCTAGTGTCGCAATTGGGTGGTGGCAATTATCAAGTGCCGCCTGTTTGGCCGATTGCGGTGCCCGAAGGGCCCCTGCTAGTTCCCCAAGTAAATGGTGGCCACGTGCCCAAAACGGGTGGCAATTATCAACTGCCTGCTTGGGAGAGGGCGAGCGTGGAACTTCAGAATCCCTGTAGGACTTGCACTTGCCAGCAGGTACCAAGGGTGATTGTTGTTCTTAAGCTCCAGGGCGGCGGATCTTTCGTGGATACTTTTGTGCAACAGCATGTCTGGCCGCGCATCTACGACTGGATCCATCTCAAACTTGCCTCCTGGGCCGGATTCTCGTTGAAGTTCGAAAGGTCTGATCCAGACATAACTCCGGCCCTCCTCCCGCCTGATTTGAATTTCGATGAGGGCTGTGTGCGGACCCTGCTTTACTGGCAATCTGGAGTCACTAACGTGCAATGGCAGATCAGAGCCGAGCCTGTTGGCCCGCGGTTGGTCCCAGTTGGGTTGCCCTTGGCCTCTTTACCATGCAGTACGAGTCCGGGAGCTTGGTCAGCGGAACTTCACTTGGATTCTCCAGATGGAGATTCACCCTGGCAACTGGAGCCCTTACAGCGCAGCAGTGGCCGGGGCATTGGACATGCAAGTCAGCCTGCTGGCGGTGGGATGCCGGCCTATATCAGCATCCAGATTGCTGAAGCCGTAACGGCTAAACAGAAAACGACTTCTATTCACGTGGAGTGTGAGGACGAGGAGGAGACGGCCGCTGCGAGGGCGGCCATGAAGAGCAACAACCACTCCCTATCAACCTGATGTGGAGCAGAATGCCCATGTCAGGGTGCGCGGGGTGCCAATTTACCAGTCCCGGAATTGTCGTAAGATACGGTAAACCCGGTAAATCATACAGGAAGCGAACGTGCGCCGCCCTCGGGCGTAGTGGCTGGCACGGTACTTGTCATGCTTGCTCTTCTTTGCGAAGAAGCGTGTTGACGCAATCTAGACACCTGGTGTTCAGGCATCGGAGTCTTCATACACGAAGCCAGAACGTATTTGCACCACAACCTGGATGAGCTGCTGCAGGTCGCTGAGGGAAAGGTGTCCGTTGCGCTGACGTTGCGGCGTGGGGGCACAGATGCGAAGCTTGTGTCCGCAGAAGCGCGGGCCCCCAGAGACTTTGGGGACTGGAGGAGCAGGAAGGCGATGTGCTCGCAGGCGATGCTGCGAGTCCACCATTTCAGGGAAACGCCTTGCAGGGCTTCCCACCCACCACCCCAGGCCTGTGCTGGCCTGTGCCACCTTGGTCGCACGAGGAGGTCTTACACCTGGCCTCCTCACTTCAAGCCTGCTGCCCCCGATGGAGCAAATGGCCACAGCCATACAGCCTTCGTGGCTTTTTGCATGCAATCACTGCAAGCCGTACGCGGCGTTGCAGCAGACATTCCGATGTCTCAGCCGAGTGCGGCCGTGCTGGTTCCGGCATGCATCACTTTGGACGAAGGCTGCATGCGGGCATTGCTCTTGGCAGGATCTCAGCTGTGGCATATCCAAGCCGAGCCAGCGAAGCTGGGATGTTTCGGTTGTGGAGGTGGTCGGCCATGATGCCTCCGCCCCGTCTTTCGTAGATCCTTCTCACCGCAGGTGTCAAATCGCCAGCATCTTCCTTCCCTCACTTGAGGGTGTAGACTGTAGACACTCACTTCGAGGCTACAGAGCAGAGGCTAGAAAACATGTCTTTCGTGAGTCACGTGAGACGGTGCTGTGGCTGGGCAGCGAAAAGGGCGCAGTTGCGCAACAGCAGGATTCGTGTTGCAGCAAGATGCACCGAGGCTTGAGGTTGCGGAGGGATGACAGTGCTGGTCCCAGCGGGATGAGCGACGCAGTGCATGTCCCATCTTCATCCGAAGGCCACATGCCCTGGATAGCTTGTTCTTCGGATCCACATGCCTTCTCATTCCGCCTTTGTGAGGGGCCAGAGGGTGGAACTCGTGGTGAACGTCCGATTCTGGGCAAGCGAGCCAAGGACCCAGACTCAGAGCTCCCGGCCGGGAGATGGTCCGATGGAAGCCGAGTTCTCGAAGCGGGTTTCGGTATCGACGAGCTGGCTGCTCGGAGTCTTGAGAGAGGTCTGCCACGTGCATGGGCGGCTGCGTGCACCTGGGCCCCGATGCACCGAGGCTTTGCGAGGTTGCGGAGGGATGACAGTCCTGGCCCCAGCGCCGGTGCAGAGAAACCGATCTACGGCCACTTGTTTGTCGCTTCACCCTCCCGTCCCAGTGCATCTAAGCCGAGGACCCCGCTGCCGTGTTTTGGCAGAACAAGTGCACCGGCCTACACTTTCAAAGAGCCTTCGTCACGCAGTCTGTCAGCATTCATAGCTGGGGTTGAGCTCTTGGGTTCACGCTGTGGCACTTGTGAGAAATGCAGCGAATATATTGCAACTGGCACCAGGGTGCTGTCAACTGAATTGCACCTTTGAGACTACTGTAGATACTTTTACGTGAAGATTGATTGTTGAAATCTCTGTTAGTGCCCCATTCCTCCGGTGTACATCGATGCCCCTTGCATTTGAAGCCATAGTCCGTGTTTTCCAAGCATTCACGCCTTGATTTTATGAACCCGTCTGTGCGAGGATACTGTGGCTTCCAGACAGATTCGGGAGAAGGTGGACTGCTATTCGCAAAGCGGGTAAAAGCTGTCGTCGAAGGCAACGACGAGCTTTAAGGATGCTCAAAAAGTGCAGCTCTCTGAGACGGTGCAACTAGAGGGCTAATCGGGGTTCGGCATGTAGTGACCCAACGCTAGCCTATCAGAATGCTGTCATGCAGTTATCCGGAATCTGATCTTCCTGCCTGCGGCCATTTCAGACAAAAGAAGTATGTCGGGAGACCCTTTGCTCTTGTGGTGTCATGGGCGGCGTCTTATGTTGCGATGCCGCAGCCTCGGTCGGCCATTCTTTTGCCCTGTGCACGGTGCGCAAGCCCTGCAACAGTAGTGCTGGATCAAGGAAGCGGGTTCTACGTCACAGCGGTCACAGCGAGGGCACTCTCCACAGAAGGGGCGCAGCAACCCCTACGCGAATCCACTGCCGACGACGCCCAGCGATCCCTGGAGATCGGGCCTCATCGTGCAATTAGGGTCCCTTTTAGGGTCCTGTTTATAAGGGTGCCGCACTATTTTGGGGACCCAAAAAGGGACCCTAGTTTAGAGAACTACCCATGTGCCAGTTTCGCTGAGCAGTGGGGCCTGGGTGCCCTCACCTGTCCCGAGGCAGTGCCATGGCTGCAAAGAGCATGCCACAAATTCCCAAGGCGCCTCTTGTCTTGCGTGCAACTGGCATGCTAGCAGTTTGTGGAGAATTCAGAAGTTCGGTTCAGGTTTCTTGCAACTAGTTTTTCGGTTTCATTGCTATTGGCAGAAGGAGCACGGGGACAGACAGTGACAAGAGCAGCAAATCTAGTCGTTTGATGACCTGCGATCTGCGGCAGGTCAGTCGGTCGTGCTTCGTTTGCTACACCTGTGCGGCAACAGACAAGGCTGCATTGCAATGCCTTGCAGTGACGGAAAGTTCGATTGCTGTCGGGGAGCTTCTGATTTTTCACCCTTTTCGGCTCGCAGCCTCACCTCTTTTCGAGGGATGTCTGGTTGGGTCTGGACCTGGCGATGGGCTGCTGCTTTGGCTTCCGCCCAGTTGGGTGGAGCCGCTCCGCGCTGTGGCTCTGCTCGCCTCGCAGATGGAAACTGCCTCTGGTTCCACTTTCACTCGTATTTCAGCCCAGGGCTGTATGCAGATGAGAGGAGCTCCCAAAAGCAGTTGCTCAACGCCTTTCTGATTCATTATCTGAAGATGAGCATACCTGCTTCAAACTTTCTGGGGCTGATACAAGTGAATCGATACTATGGCAAGCGAGCTGGGAAAACCTTTGCAGAGAGCCTTCGAAGGGACTTTGGCATCCGCCATGTGCGGCTTGTGCTTACAGGCAAAAATACAAGCAACCGCGATCTGGAATTTCTAAGCTGGCTCATGCTTCAGGAACATACCCAGGCTGAGGACTGGATCATCAAGGCAGATGTAGACGAGTTCCATGTTTTTCCTCCGCACCGGGGCATCTTCCACAACGGCACCTTCGATGCCCATGCCTATTTCAATGCTCTGAACCAAGCAGGGAAAAACGTCGTGAACGGTTTCCTTATAGACAGAGTGGCGCACAAGGCCAGGCTGCCAGATGTCCGGCCGACCTATGCAACCGAGAATATCATGAACCAGTTCCCTGTCGTTTGTGGTGTGACAGCACTCTTCAGGCTAACAGACCCACGGAAAGTGGTGGCGTACAAGGCCTACATCCGGGCACCCAGTTCTCATCACTTTGCGTTTGGCATTGACCAGACTTTCTATCCCTGTGACATCACCGAGTCCTGTCACGGAGGTCGTCGGCTACCCGTCTATGGAAGGCGCCAGGACCTGCAGCCATGTCTTGTGAGTGCAACAAACTGGCACCACGTCCTGCGGAAGAAGCTGGGAAGGGACGCCTTTGCCCTGATGCCATTTAAGTACCACGGGCATCTGCCCTTGTTGAACCCTTTACGTTCCTGGGCCTCAGCCTTCCATTTAAAGTGGCACTCCGGGGTATGGTCCTTGCAGAAGGAGGCCCGCTTCTTTGGTGGCCGTCGTCTGCCCGAGCACTTCGACGAGTTTAGAACCTTTGTCGGTACGATGTGCTATCCTGCAATGGTGAAGAAGGCATATGAGGCAATGTCAGAAGAGGAGATGGGAAGGATGTTGCACTTTCCGGCACCGGCAAATCCGGATGGGTGGTGGCACTTGCTGGCAAACCTCCAGGTCAACACTTACTGCAACGGCTTGCACGGCATGCCAGACCTCAAAAATATTGCTGGACCGCTTTAGGAGCATGTCAAGGTCGACTCCACCGACTCCCGAGAGCTTCCCAGCTTTGCACCAAGAAAGTCACCATTGCTTCAGGAAAGCTGCCGCTGGATGATGCGGTGATCTCGCAGAGCCGCGCTGGAGAGTTGGAAGCGGATACGACAGGCCTTTTGGGGCAACCTGATTATAGTCGCCCAGTAGTCCATGTAAGCAAGGGCCCTGCAGTGAATGTTTTCTAAATGTCGAAGTGACTGAGAAGGTGACAATGTTGCTAGGTCCTAGGTTGCTTGCTACACTGCTAGAGATTGCCATAGGGTTAGCATGGAAGGTGGTTATAGAAGGCGACTCTATAAGGCTGCTGAAAGCTTACTACTCCGCTGCTGTAGAAGGTTACCATAACAGTGCTGCAAGGTTGCAACAGCTACCATAAGGGTACTATAAGGATACTGTCATGGAGCATAGTAGTATAATGGTACCACAAGTTTATCTGTTTCTGCCAGGCTTTCAAGCTCAGGGAATCGGCGCTCTCAGTGCTGAGCGGAGTACCGCAGACTCAGAAGACACGGCAAGAAGCACCTGACCGTTCAAGACTAGCTGGTTTGCTGCCCTCGAAAACTAAGATGGTTTTCAAAACGTTTTGCTTGCAGTCGTTCTGTGCTCAGGTAGCTGCCGGAAGCGCAACCTTGCGACGTTTTCGCAGATGCACTCTCCCGAGAGAGAAGCCATCACGAGATGGTGTTGATGCCCGGAATGCCAACTGCCTGGAGCACGCTCAGACTTTCGCAGAGCACTTTGCGTGACAAGATGCGTGTGCTGCAAGCTTCCTGTTGCCCTCTTTCTTGGATGCGCCTTCTGTTGCACTCTCGCCTGTCCGGAGGTGCGGAAGGGAACAGACCTGGAGGCTTCCGGACGCTGCCGGCTCCCGGCAAGGCCGGGCCCAAAAGCGGAGCTGCGACCCCCGCCAGGCACAGCTTGGAGCGGCGCCTTCCCTGTCCAATGAGGCATACAAGCGCACCCCAATAAGACGTACCTGATGCTGAATGCAATTCCTTTTGTGTAAGAGACTTTCAATTCCGGGAAGATGATGTTACCTGGCAGCAGAGGCGGCTTGTCTCACCCAAGCATCCTAATGAGTCAGCTCAGTTGTGCTCATGCTGGCAGTTTGATGCTAGCCGCAAGCCTGCCAAGAGCTAGTTGCCACCATCGCCGCCATTTAGTCGATTGTTGTGATTTTACTTGAATACTCGTTTTACCGAGACTAGGATGCATGCGAAGACTCAGCGATGCTCTGTGCAAATTCCATTCCAAAACATTTCGCAAAGAAGTTTGCGATCGCGCTTGAGGTAGTGGGTGAGCTGGCCGCATTTTCAGCTTTATGTTGTGGTATCTCCTTCGACAGGCTCAATGTTTGCAACTTCGAGATATCATGCAAATCAGCAGGTTGCCTTTAACACTCCAGCCACTACTGTAGTAATGTCGGCATGTGCTATATTCTCAGCAAAATGTCTTGGTGTCATCCTCGCGCCGAAACACACTGGTTGCTAGATTGGGGCATGGAGCGAGTCCGTGCCCGGACACGGGTGTGCCTTCCAATGCGAGATGGTGAGCAAGGAGGTGCTCCTGCGATTCGGGGAGCCTAGCCTGCCTTAGGCTCTCCGGGCATCTGGGCAGGAAATCGAAGACTGTCGAGACAGGCCTTTTGCTTTGTGCAGAAACCCCTAGACCCAACTGTTCTTCAGCTGACCTCCCCTGGAGGCTCCGAGAGTGCCGATCTGCCACAGAGCAGGAGACCCGGGGAAGTTGCCGGGCTGGGGAAGGAAGGAGCCCGGGAGCTCCAAAATAGGGGGTTTCATTAAATAGGGGACCCTAATATAGTACCTTACATAGTAGGATCCTTATTCTAAGGACCCCAAAATAAGGTACTATGCCGCCCTGTAAGATAGGCCTAAAGCCTTCATCTCTAAGGCTTTCGTGTGGTATTTGGGGGCGCTGTTCTCCCAAAATTTCCGGGAGGGCCACAAATCGAGCAGCCAGTTTCTCCGGCGGTCCAGTTTCATGACCTCGCTTCCTAAATGTGGCGTCAGGACCCAAAGCGAATTCTCTCGATCTTCGAGGAGCTCTCTAAGAAGCCCATCTCTGTGGAGATCCTTCACACTACAGGCATCGGCAAGGCCCGAAATGCTCGAAACCAGACTCCCTGAAACCCGAAAGCTACGTGGAACATAAGACCCTCAAAGCCATTGGACCCTCAAGCCCAAAGTTCCCCTAAGGACAAGCTCAAGCAGCCTCAACTTCCAGCAATGCCCCAAATCCCGAGAACTGCATGCAAGCGTATGAAAAGGATGAACAACCCTCGTGAAGCACTCGACCCTACAGCAAACGCCGCATTCGAACCGTATGGAACCCTACATTAAAACCCTATGAAACCCTACATCAAAGCCCCATGGAACCCTACATCAAAACCCTATGAAGCCCTACCGAAACTCTATTGGAAGATCCGGCGGCTCGCTGCAAGCTCGGCCTTGAACCACGAAGGAGGTGAACGACCGCTTCTTCAAAAGCCATGAAGACCAAGAGGCCTGCGGCATTGAGTAGACGGTGTCTGTTCTGTTGCAGCTTTCTGTTGTACATGACCTTATGCTATGCCAGCTATGCTTCATCAGTATGTATGTAGTGGTGCACATTTATACAGCATGTGTCGAATATGCTGCGTATTTGTATAGGTGCATATACATACATCTATCTGAACGTATTTGTATGCATGTCATTTATGTCTGTCTGTCTGCCTGTCTGCCTGCCTGCCTGCCTGCCTGCCTGCCACCGTTCTCTCTACAAGTTTATCTACATGTACACACACACGTACACATGTTTGTTCATGTGCGCATACATGGTACCACATACATACATACAGACATGAATGAAACTATGCACATGTATGTGTATATTACATGCACATATTTATATGTATTATATACACATGCATGTGTGTGTATACGTATGTATACTCAGGTATATATGTATATACAGAACTATATACATGTATATATATATTTTTTTTTTAATTTATATATGTATGTATATATATACATACATACATATCTGTATATACATATGTATATATATATATATGTATATACGTGT